GAATTCTGGTGATGCAACAGACCCCAATGCATAACGTGCAGAAGAAGAGGATGCTATGTTTGAACCTTTTTAAAAGAATTCATCACTATTTATGAACCAAACTTGCCTGAATTTATCGGTTCAGCAACTGCACTTAGCTTCTTTGCATCTGCCAGAATTATTTTGGTTCTTGAATTCATTTTAGTTCGCTTTGAAAACTGCTCTCTTCATACAGCAAATATTTGAAATGTTTTTGCTATTAATTAGCGTAACTTCAAAATATGCTGCGAAAATCATAGTAAGTCAGACAGAAGGTTTAACAGTCGGTTAGGTTTTCCGTGAGTTTTTGCATCGAAGACTAAAGTAACTCAATTTGATGTAGTTTTCGCGGGAGCAACCGCCACTATTATACTTACTATATGACGTAGAAGATTTGTTGGTTGCCTATAGTTGCATGGCTGAGATACCATATTCCACGACCAAAGAGAACCCGATAAGGTCTTTCGATACCGTATAGTAGGTCAAAAGCAAGGGTTTTTGAGTTGGTGTATAGTCTTCGTTGCAGGGGTCGAATTTGATGCATGGTTTTGTGAGAAAACTTTGCTTGTACTATAGAAGGTCGGTCTGAGGGTTAGTGCAAGGGTCTCCAATTGAACAAAGCCACCCATGATAAATGGCTCAATTTAGAACAATAACCGTGTGTAACGGGAGCACGTTTGGTCGTATAATTAGTTTTAATTAGAGGCAAAAAACGGACACTAGAAGAGAATAGATGGGACCGGTGGGAGGATACAGTTCCAGTTAGGAACCGCGTCAGGTGCTCTAATGAAAGGATAACGCTCTTTTAAACCACCTACGCTACCTACGGAACTAAATTTTACTAGGGAACCGTAGGGAATTTGTAAGTGTACGTACCAAGCAAGGAGGAGGTGCTGGCGATACTACGAGCCCCTTCCCACTTCAGTTGGCCCACTTCAAGATTTGTAACAAAACTTAGACCTATAACTAATAGAATATCTGTACAGATAAGGGTCAATATTCCCACACTGGGACATTTAAGTCCTCTAAGTGTGCCACATAAAAAATATCTAGTATTTAGAAGACCGTGCATTTACTCAATGCAGTATGGCTTGTTTGTTTGGAAATTATACAATAACCGAGATTTTAGTTTGTATACTTTGAATTATTTAACATTTTTCAAAAATCTCAATACACGGGACTGACACGGTTACACGGAACTGACAAAGAAACAGCAGGTTAGCAAACATGCTTTGCATTTTTTATTAAAAAATAGTCAGGTACAAAATAAACTCAAACAATGTATTCTGAAACAAAAACATAACGTTATATTGAGCGGCTACTTGGAAACTCTGCTGCTAATTGACCATTTTTTTTCCACTCGGACAAAGGAATATCATCATCTGAAGAACTTTCACTGTAAACATTGTAGTAATGTAGCTTCGCTTTATTCCCTTTGTCAAAAATGTATAATTCTTCATCAGACGCAGAACTTTTCGTTACCGAATTATAAGATAAAGTTCCAATAGTGTAATGTAGGCATCTTTCGCCGCAGTCGAAACAGGAGAGCTCTCTTAGAGATAGTGTGTTGTGGTCTCTTAGAGATCTTACTTGACGAACCATCAAAGTTCCTTTAAATGGCAGAACCTCAGCTTTATTTATAGCATCTGAAAATTTTTCAATTTCACAAGCATGAATCTCCAAAAAGGATATGCCTGAGCAGTTGGCTTTCAGGATTTCAACCAATTGGCTGAAAGAACTCACATCAGATCCCTGAGCAACAATACGGTCTGCAGTCCTTTTACAAACTCCACCAATGCCGTTCGGGGCACCTTTACCATGTCCGGCCTCATGGTAGTTCCAGGTAACTGATTGTAGTTCCGGAAAGTAGCTATAGATGCCATTTGTAATGAATGCAAACATTTTCTTGTTGCGGTATTGTGTACTGGGGCTGTCGCTAAGAAAATGCAACAATTTTACCCCATTATCAATATAGAGTTTGATCAGTGGAAACAGATGAGCCCATATGGCACCGGGACCATGCTCCAACGACTCTGCTAATGTACAAAAACTGTCAACCTTCAAGTCGTTTTCGTGTGCTCGGCTATAAATTACCACAGTATGCAACGTAATCTGTTGCCTTGATCCTCCAAAATGATAAGACTGGACTTCTTCTGCGTAGTTTAGATTATCATTCTCAGAAAAGTCACAGTGAATGAGTATTTTCTCATTTGTCATGTTCTGTTTCAGTGTCTTGATTGCTTTGTATTGGTGAAAAATGCGTCCCTCGTGTGCCAAAAAAAGAGGCAACCTATCTTCAAATTTGGTCAAAAGATCCGATATTTCTATCTCTTGACTAATTTTAGCAATTTTCAAACTGGTAACGTTGTTTTGTGATCGTTTGCTGAAATAAGTTTGTTTTATGTTTTTCCACTGACTATATGATACAACGTTACCAGGATCGTACTGCTCAATATATTTAGGTTTATATAATGCACACACTGAACATTTCCTTAGTAGACATAGGTCATTGCGGGTCTCACATGTCATTGACTCAATTATTGCTTCTGTAGTTTTGCAATGCAACACTTTACTTTGCCAAAGAGATAATACAATCAACTCCATGTTACTATGTGTCATACATTTACATGTGTCTCGATTTGCTACCTTCATAAACTTTATCCAGAAAGGTTTACATTTACAGAAAAATGTATAACTCACCTTGACATCGGCGTATTTTTTACAAAACTCTTTGAACAAATTCTTCAAAGTGTTTGTTAAATATCTTTTTTGATAGGTGAATTTATTCTTTGTAACATAGTCTTTCTTACCGGGGCAAATCCGGCTATTAACATCTTCCTGTAAGAACGCCACAATTTTATTCCTATTTTCAGATGCTCTTCGGTTTTTCTGATACTTAACATCTACATTCCTATGGCTGTATTCCACTACTCTTGTTTTTGTATATCGAAAAACTTTGGAACACGTTCGCTGAAGCTTGTACTTCTTAATAATTTTTCCATCCATTATTTTCCTAAATACCTTCTTTTCTTTTGGGCTTAACGATTTATAACTCTCTGACAGCTGGTCCTTGATGGTCTCCCCAAAAATAAGTTGTTTTTTAATTTCATCTACTCTTTTTTGCTGTATTGAAGACCTTTCTATGATCTGTTGTACTCTAGTTCCAGGTGAAACTGATGGGGAACTAGTTTGTTGAGCAACATTTTTATTTTGATGCATTGATTTCTTTAGGCGAGAATACTTTTTCTTCCACTTTCCAACTTTTTTTTTAAGGTCTGCTATTTTAGCTTCATTTTTTCTTTTTTCTCGATGTCGCTTAAGTTTCATTCTATTACTTTTCTTTATTGCATGTTCCTTTCTTCCATCTAACTGTTTCGTTAAATGATCTGGCACATGTGCGTTTTCGGATGAGCTTAGTCTTAATCGATCTCGGTGAGACTTTGTATATTGTCTCCATTTCTTGCGTTGCGATCTAATTTCTCTTTCTGTCATTTCCGAAACAAGCTTCCTTTGTTTATTCTTTCGTTGACGCAAGTATTTCTGATGCTCTTTTTCCCGCTGCTCCTCACGTTTTTTCGGATCTTCTCTTATTTTACGCCTCCGTTCTCGTTCCCGGTCACGTTTAATACGCTTTCTTTCTTCATCAGATATTTTCCTATGTCCAGACATCTTACACCCTGCTATAGACTAGTAGATAGACCTGTGAACTGTAAAAAATACTTGCATCAATGCATGTTTGCTATAGTTTTATAGAGAAAAAATGGAATCAAGTCAGTTCCGTGTCACACAGTCAGTTCCGTGTTTTCGCAATGACACGGGACTTACAACCACGGGACTGACATTATTGCACTTACAGCAACAAAAAAAGTAATCGGTTCAAAATTTCTAATTAATTTTAGTATGACAATTATGGTTTTTGATACCCGAAGTACTCATGGGGTATTTGAAGCAAAAAGAAAAAATAGTAGTTTTAAAACACTTACCACGGTACTGACAAGAGACAGGTTTCCAAGACACTTTTTTACTTGTCGGACCCAGTTCCTGCTTAACCTATCAGTAATCTGTGCACATCTTCCGACGATTGACCCAATACTAACAATTTCTAGTTGGGATAATACGGATGTCACTTACCATACCTTCCCCCACTACTTTATGGCGTGATATATGGCGCGGCACGGGACTGGCCAGATAGCTGGAGACAAATGCTTTCCGAAAAATTACTAAATTAATTATTCTTTTTGTTTCACCAATTTTCTATATTGTGGTTAGCTATGTGCATACTTGCGATATAGGTATACCAAGTTTTCAAAACAGTACTTCAGGTGAAAAAAATGGCAGGTATTATCAAGAGACATCCGCTAGGACATGGCACGGGACTGACATTTCAGTGGCATTTTCCCAGTTATTTTGTTCTAAATGGAAGATAAATATTTCATATAGTGTGCAAACCGTAAAAAATATGTAGCCAAACGCATCGTATCAGATAATTACATTGAAAAAATTATAACAAATCAGTTATTAAGAGGAACTTACGATGACTCATGTTAGGGATATTAACCCATAAACAATGTGCGAATAAATGCGCGAAGTTAACAAAGCAACAACTGAAAGGTTGCCATTGGGTAACATCACCTTTATTTTTTATTACGGCTGAAATTCTTTGGGGCATACTGTTATCCAAGTTTTGGCAAATATTTGGTGTAAAACAATCCCATATTTCTTGAAGATTTTGTCTCAGTTCGGTGATTTTACGAGTAGGATGTTGTCGATAGAACCTTTTTCATCTCGTGCCACAAAGTTTCAATAGGTGACAGATCTGGGCTGCTAGAAACCCATTTCAAAAGTGGTATATTATTTTCTCCCATCCAGTTAACCCTTTAGTGCATGAATTTTTTGTTTTCATCGAAAAAAATCCCAGGAATGGAGAAATATACTTTATTTATGTAAAAAATACCAAAAAAATTTTTGTATAATACATACTTTATTTATTTTGAAAAAAATGGAAAGTGACATATATGGAACATTATGCAACAACATTGTCCTTTATTCAGTGTGGAACCTCAAAAAACAATTTCGCTCTTTATTAAAACACAAGGAAACTTTGCATTTCGTACAAGACACAAAGGATTTAGATTGACACAATGGAAACTTGCATCTTGATCTTTGTTGTTCACTCCATTCTGGTAAATGGTCCATACCATCAAGACGTACCTCTTGTTGAGGAATTTCTTTGGTAGGTCCACGTTTCTTTTTCATGGCATATAATGTCTGAAGCTCTGCTGAAGGTCTTCCTACTCTTCTTTTATGTTCTCTATTAAGATTGCATAAAGAATCGGCGATGGCCAGCTTGAAGTCTTTAAGGGGTAGATCAAATTCTTTATTGCTGCGTCTCCACAACAACCAAGCATTTACGCAACACATATCCAACACCACTTTCAGCATCGTCGCCAGATAAATCTGGATCGTCACTCTCATCGGACTCTATATCAGCTGCATATTGTAGAGTACCATAAAATTTCGTTGGGTCCATAACTGGAAATAAAAGCAACCAAAGTAAATATAATTGCATATTGTTCCATATATGGCACAAGCACAAAATCGTACACATAACTTCCTAAATTAACATCAAATGAAAAACAACTTACCTTATAACATAGTTCACACTTCACCCGTAATGTCAATAATTTTATTTTGGGGATTTTCTAATTTTAGAAGACAAAAAACTTGCAAACAAAACGGATCCATCAGCTGGTAGCAAGAAATGGCGCGCGGCAGGCTCTGACATGGAATAACTCGTAATTGAGCACTACTATCGATGTGTGCGTTTTGCTGTGTGTAAGCGGGTGCGTTCCAAATATGGCATAGTATGCAGTAAAGGAATACAACTTAATTTGAGACAATATTTTTTTATTTTTGTAGTTTGGGTCGTATATGGTGCATGATGCGGTAAAGGGTTAATAGCCTTTTTTGAGGTATGGCACGCTGCACCATCTTGCTGAAACACAAAGTCTTGGCCGGATGTCAAACATTCTTCCATCACTTGTAAAAGCGGTTCTTCTAAAATTGTCAAATATTTGTTTGTATCCACATTTCCGTCAATAAAATGAAGTTTTCCCACTCCTTTTGATGACATACCACCCCCAGACCCCCAGACCATAATGGATGCTGGAAATTTCACTTCTCTCTTCAGACAGTCAACATGGGATGCTTCATTTTTTTGCGAATAACTCTACTGCGACTGTCACCAACACAAACTTCGAATCAGGCCTCATCACTCCATTGTATTGCACACCATTGTTGAGGTGTCCTACGTCTATGTTCTTTAGCCAATCTAAGCCGATTGTTCCTTTGCAGTGGAGTTAATAGTGGCTTTTCTTTGGCCTATAAACAAGTTGTGCAACTTTAGGGTTTTTACTTCACTTTTTTTATAAGAAAACTTACCTTGCAAGTGCTAAATCCCAGTTTGCGGGCCTCTCTATGAGTTGGGGACCTCGAAATTCTCCTTCCAACAGCGTCACTCCACAGAGCATTTAATTGTAAATAATTTGCACTCCTGTTTTTCACGATTATTCTTCTTAATGCTCTTCAGTCGACATTTGTGATATTACTTTTTTACATATCGTGGCTTAATATTAACTGAACCAGTTACGTTATATCTTCTAACAATATTTCTCACACTGTACCGTGATAAGTCTAACAAAGTTGCAATTTCTGAGTTTGATTTCCCAGAATTAAAAAATTTAATTATCAGTAACCGAATTTTCTCACTAATAATAATCTTTGCTCTACCCATTTTGAAAACCTTAACTACCCAAAACTATTTTAAACGTATTCTGACAGCTGTGATTAATAAAAACAATTGTCATGGCTTTTATTTTTCACAGCCACCTATGCATTATAGACTTATTTTGCATTTAAATGAAAATAGGTTGATATGCTGTAATTGCAACATGTGTTATTTTTATGCTGCAAATTTGATTAGGGAGTGATAAAGTTGGTGTTTTCTACTATATATTAGCAAAATATTCATTGTTAATATTTTAAACCTATAACACCCTGCTACATTTTTATTATTTGTGTTTGATAAGAAAAAACTAAGATTTCAATAGTTGGGCCAACTGAAGTGGGAAGGGGCTCGTATATACAGGGTGTCCGCAAAGTTGGGGTTTTCCTTTACAGAAACAACTACCCTTGAAATAACAAAGGTAATGTATAGTGAAACGAGGGCGACCAAGTAAAAAAAAATAAAGGAAAAAGTATTCACTCTCCAGTTGACGAGAAGGGCTAAGTACGTCTCTGCCCGAAATCATACAGCTCCAACAGAAAATGAAATCAGCTGAAGCGCTACCGAGCAGACGCAGAAACCACATTGATTGTCTTACACTTAATGGCACATCTTCTAACAAGGAAGGCAAAAAAACATGAGTGTTGCGCAAGTTATTCACCCCATTTCGCGTGAACGTAGATTCGTCTGTCACCAATATGCACTTCAATAAGTCCGGATTATTGTCATGTTGATGCAACGACCACTCACAAAACCGCACTCTTGCTGGAAAATCGTCGGTTGAAGGTCTTGTATACGTTGGACGTGAAACGGATAGCCCCTCTTCACGCAGCGTTTGCCACACTTTAGTTTTTGATACTTGCACTTCTCTAGCCACGTCTCTAGAGATTCTCGTCTACGCGATTACCTCTACATGCGTGACCGTAACCATCGGTTGAAGGTTGCATACTGACCTGACACACTGACCCCGACCCAGTTCTGCCGTCGCGTTGAGACCTTGTACCAATCTGTGATGTCCCGGGTCGCGGCTACAGGACGGTATTCAGATATTTTTGATGTTGCAGAGCCCTTTATCTCGGTTCCCTTACGACATTAGTGTATATGGTACTAAGAAAATTTTATTTTTTAAATTTTTTTTTCATTTTTACACACATATTTTGGTTTATCTTCCTTCTACAATCATTATCTGAAAATTAATGACTCAACTTCAAAGTCACCCTGTATATTCTATACTAGGCTATGCTAGATCTCTAGCCTGGTTAGAATGTCGTTATTTTGAGGAAATTTCAACTCGCTGAAGCTCCTGTAACTCAAACCCATTGCATATCAGGTGAGAATAAATAATCACGGCAATCCTAAGGACATAATGCTTGCCTGTCACATCTGAGAGGGCTAAGCTTGTCATGATTCCAAAGGAAACAGATTCTGTTTTTTTATTACTATCCCATTATCTTGTTCGTAGCTCGCTCTGTCACTTTAGGAGTTTCAGATCACTATACGCCTCGTGGAGTGCAATTTAGCTTTTGGTCTGAATTACAGACAATTAAGCCAGATACACCATCTATAACGAAAGCACTGGTTTCGTGCTCCAAGACGGTCCGAGAAGGTGATAAATAATTGAAAAAGCTAACCCACTTTTGCTCGTCAAATCTTTGAAATACTTCCTTCACAGTAAGAACAGGAATATGCAATAACCCCTGAACAGAAGCTTGCGTACCGTCACTATGCCTCCCATGGGACCCTTGACACAGACCTTGACACCGTCTAGTTGATGGATTATGTTGAACAACAGATGAACGCAGATAAAGTAAAGTTTATTTGCCAAAAAATAAGGATAATATGGTAAGTGAATATGAAAACGTACACAGTTAGTTTAAAGTGACAAACACGAAACTCACAGAAGCAAGCTTGTCCTTGGAATTATACAAGTTACAAAAACGCTAACGTGGTATGGATATTACAGTTATGGATATAACACATTTTCAAAAATTTCCAGTCCGTCACTTATTTTAATAAAAGAAGAGTCACTCATATATTCCACTATAAAATAGTTCATACACTTAAAAGCAATTCGACTAAAATCGTACTGGCCATCAAATCGGTAAGGTAATCCAAAATCGCTAATTTGAAGATGTATGCTTAAAATAAGCATATAAATTCATTAAAATCGTCCACAGTCGGTTGATAGAAAGCTGGCATATTCATCTAATACATATAACGTTATTGAAATTCGGTATCGATGAAAAGAGAGAAAGAGAGAAGGATAGAAAGACAGAGTAAGTGTACAGACATTACAGCAACAATTTCAGTTCATTTATAAGACCTATACAATGGTCACAGATATTATACAGGGTGTAAACGTTATGGTAGTCATTATTGAAATGGGTAATAGGGGGGGGGGGGTCAAAACAAGTCAAAACGTTCAGATGACCCACGGTTCAAAAGTCAATAGATTTTTGCTTAATGGCTCTATAGTTTATAACTTGAATTGCTTTAAATCGACCACAATCACCACAATCTTACTAACTTTTATAACCTAATCTAAAATGTTTTTAAATTGGGTAATTAACAAATAAATGGCATTAAGTTTTTCTAGGTTAAGGCAAAATTTGTAGTCAGTAAGTATGTAAGTTTCATTGAATTGAATATTTAAAACACACATGACAACAATGCGTCGGTCATCATCACTCTTATCGAACCGGCAATCGATAGCAAACGGTGACAGTGGTTAGTTATCGGGCATCGGGCGTGTTGTTTACAATGTTCTCGAATCAAGAGTTCGCCGAAGCTCGTCAGAATTCAAATCTTGCAGCTCAAATTTATCGCGACACATTTCGCCATCGGGTACACCCAGACAAAAGGATATTTCGACGGCTCCAACGAAAACTGTAGTAACTCAAATTTGTCCTGGTTTGAGATAATGCTGTTAAGCCGTATACTTGTATTTATAGTTTATCTAGCTAGGAATGATATTTTTATATTTATTTCAATCATTTAATAATTATTATTGTGTCTTAAATGAATTTATATTGATTAATCGATCAACAAAGTATCGAAACTGTTACTTAAAACGCCGATTTATCATAGTTGCTTGAACCCTTAAATTCGCTTTACTCAAAACTGTGGATTTTGAGTTATAACAGTCTTCGTTGAAGCCGTCGATTTGTGTAAGTGTACCAAAGACTTCGAGATACCGGAAGTGTTCAGCCCACTAATATTCGCATATTCGCACTCGTGAAAGAGAGGTTACTGTAGAGCAGGAGGAACAAACTTTAAACATCGTGGAAATCAATGCAGACATCAGCACTCGGGAATTAGGCCGCCACTTAGGACTATCGTATATCATAGTCCATAGAATCCTACGGGAAAATTTGCTTTATCCCTGCCACGTACAAAGAGTGCAGGCCTTGTTACCAGAAGACTATCCTCGCAGACTAACGTTCTGTCAGTGGTCTTTGCACTAAAACATTGAAAATCCGTATTTTTTAAAAACATTCTAGCGACGGACGAATGTACTTTTAAGCGAGACGGGATATTACATTTTCATAATACTCACACGTGGGCCCATATCATTCGTAAAGGTCATTTCCAACAACGTTTTAAAGTAAATGTTTGGGCGGGTATTCTTGCCGATCAGGTAATTGGCTCTTTCGAGTTACCCCCAGTTATTAGGAGAAGGATACCTTACGCCCGTATCGTCAGTCATCCCTACAATTGTGGGGCGGCTTTATGGCCTCCTTGATTGTCATAGTTTTCTACTTCTCCGTGTCAGAACTCTATTTTGAGGTTATGTCACAAACATCTATTTGCATCAAATTGTGCTTGCTTTTGAGTTATATCATGTTTTATCATCCTGAAATTTCCTACAATTTGAAAAGAAAACATATATTCACAATAGGAGAGCGCTGACGCTGACACGGGACTAGTGTAAACTAGAAATTTTTGAAGGAAAGAAAGGAGTATGACAATCAAGGAGGCCATAAACGCGCCCTACAATTGTAGGGACGACTG